GATAAACGTCGCTGCAAGCAATAAAATATTATAAAAATTAGAAATACGCCTCCTACTGTCGGGCTATTGTAGCGCCGGGACCGGTGCTTGGCTTTATGCTTAATATAAGTAGAATTTTATAATAAAGAATTTTAAAAGTTTTAATAATTAAATATCTTATTCAAGAAGTTATCAATTGCAGATATAGGTGGGTAAGATTTACTTGTAACATTTAATTCAAATCAAATTAATTCTATTATTAAATTATTATAAATGTTGGTTTATTACAGTTTAATTATTTTTCCTTTTACTTAATAATTGGTTTGTAATTTATTATAATTATATTAATGTTTTCTTTTAAACCCGAAAAAAGAAACCGATTTCTTAAATAAATAATTAAAATTGCAAAAGCTATCATCAAGATCCTAAAAATTACAGGATTGCTTCGTTCAAGATATGAAACGTATAATAGGTAAAACCATATTAATTCATAAATATCAAAGAAAAAGTGATAAAGAAAGAAAAATAATACTTTCCATTATCAATTAAAATAATTTATAAACGCCAAAGGCCATAGCGAAAACATGTACATATTAGTTACTCAATCATATAATAGGTATTTTTAAAATCTTCTTTTAATACATATAACAAATGGGAAAGTATATTAAAAAAGGTTTGAAAAATTAACCAAATTGAACTACGGAGGTAAAAAATCCCTTTTCCTTTACTTTAACATGGTAAGTATTTGTTCAATGATAAAAAGATATTAAAATACTCATTGATAATTAATAAAGAATCATTTTATAATCTATATTTCATTGCTTGCAAAAGATGATGATTAAACAAATAGAGTTATTAATACATATGTTAAACGTATTCTTAACAACTTTATAACTAAGTTTAATGTTAGGAACTACGACATCTCGTGCGTTGCGGCTTAGCCGCACAGCCACCTGTGGCTCGCACGGACCCTTATATAGATGAGTGCCTTAGGCACCCACATTAGTTTACGAACTTAAGAAATACAACTTTTTAATAGACCTTCATTTTGACATTTAAAAATAAACAAGGTAAAAATTATTATTATCATTGATTCATACTCCGAGTGACTTACTAATCTGAAACTAATCTAGGTAGAATGCAGGGGCTGCGCGGTGCTGCTACAGGTAATTTTGTCTTGCTTTTCCATCGAGCTGGCGCAGGTCCACTGGCTCTCCGTTCCCGCGTGCTTCGTAATATCATCTGTGCTGGGCCCTCCTCACGACTCGGCTTGCTGAATGGATAAGGTGGAAAACACTATGGCACCTGGGATGAAAACCCCCTATTATCTATCGTGTGGCAGCTTGTAGTTTTTTGCTGCTTTTCGCTAGTGTCCCCGCTTTCCTCCGGTCGATAGGCCTGTGCCTCACGGTACAGCGGCCCGGTTCCTAACGGCTACTTATCCGCTAAGATAGCTTTGGTGACTCCTAAGGTTTAAGCCGACGGAATACCTAGCCCTAGAGAGACAGATTAGGCCGGATTGCACTGGCGCTGCTTCCTTAACTTGTAAGGTGGCAGGGTCTAGGTTTTCCTTGGAGTTGAAAAACCGTGGTGGTGACTGAGGTATTCGAACCCCCTCCCTCGAGTTAAGACAAGCAGCTAACTCGAGAGCGGACCAGGCGCTAGACCATTACGCCAAGTCACCACAAAGTAAAAATAATAGTGTTGATAATAATGCTTAAGATAAAAGTTATGGGTAAAGTTATAACCAAGGCAAAGGTTGAAGTTAACGGCAAAGATCAAGCAATAAAGGTGGTGATTGCGGTGCATACGATAGAAAGCCATGTTAAAATTAAACTCAAGTCTTTTATGTTTCAATTATAACGAATACTATTAGGCCTCTATTCCAAGGGGAAGGGTTCAAAGGTCTAAGATTCATGGTCACTAAGGTTGGTGCCTGAGGCAGCTATGTAAGTAAGGGACCGTGCGAGCCACAAGTGGCTCGTGGCCCGAGCGGCTGAGCCGCAACGCGGCTCCCTAACTGTCCTTACAAGTGTAGGTCCTAACAGTTATAATGAAGCTAAAATTGTTAATATAAATAAGTTTAATTTTATAAATAATATAGAAAATAAGGTAAGGGTCATTAAAATAAATGAAACTTAATTCACAATTATTAATAAAAAATAAAAGATAAAATTATTTTTATATAACATTGTGAACACCGGTCACAGGTGAAATGTCAGGGAAGCAAACCTTGTATTGCCCTGCGTAGTAAACCCTGATTGTTCGGAGCTCAGCTCACAGTTTGACTTAAACCAGCTGCAGAGCTCCCTTATCTCTTATCCGGATGCACGTGACCACACTAAGCCATAACTGCTTACAGTAATTATATAAATATTTAAATGTAAATATTAAATGTCAAAATTTGGGGGGTGCGGTATTTTTGTCACCTGATTGTATGTTCTCAGCCGAAAGAAGACACAACGCAGGAGTCCTAAGGACCTTTTTTGTCTGAACACGCCCGGCAAATATCTTTAGGTTTCTTCCGCGTCCTACACACCTGAAGTACGGCTGCGAAAACGTTATACCGTCGATAACCGTTCAATGTCTTCCTAGAAAGTTGGAACTATCAACTATATTATATTATAAACCGTTGCAAGCAGGTTTATGGAGAAGAAATACCGCGTTCTTGCCCACCAGGCGCTCAGGTGGCATTAGATCACCATACGCTTCGTGGACCATCGAATAGGCTGTTGGCACGCCTGGACTTGGTAAACTCGTCGTGTCGGATTTGTGTGCCTGCGAAAAGGCTTGTTGTGGTAATGTTCTAATAGACTGGGACACTAACATAATGGAAGGGTCAACGATTGCTAGTAAAGAAGGCATATTGAAGTCGGATTCGAAAGGAAGATGGTGCACTCTACATTCTAACCGAAAAATGTTACTGTGCTGAAGTTTCAACCCATCCGGAATTCTTTTGAAGATTTTATCCTTTACAGCGTGAAGTATAGTTTTTCTAACAGCCGCAACCAAATCTTCCACATCAGATTGATCTATATTTGGGACATCTATCCAGTAGATATGAATGCATAAAGGGTCTTCCATTTTGGAACCAAAATGTGTATATCAATCTTATAATCAAGGAGGGGGAATTACAGGGCGTTCAATAAAGCTGAGACAGAGACCTGATTCCGAAGAACGACTGGATCACACGAAAAGACTAAAGTTGAGCTAGTATAGTCAGACCTGGCCATAACGAATATTTTGCATAACGAATCCAAACCCGTGTTTTTATTAATTCGTTATGGCCATGTTTGACTGTAGTAAACTGAAGCGAATTTTGAGAGGCTTCAAACATGCCTGCATTGGACAACCTATTGCGGATGATGATGATGATGACTTTGTTTACATCCGAAGGACGTAGAGACTATCTAGTATTATTTAATAATTAGTTAGTATCTACGAAGCGTGTAACTATGATGCATAGGACGTCCAGAGTACATTTAGTGAGGGCAGAGCTGGAGTTTCGTTTAACATAATGAAAGACCTCTTTTATCTACACCTGTGGCTAATACCCCGCCACCCACAACAACCTCGAATAAGTGTGGCGGGGGAAGTGATCCCCCAAGTCGTTGCTCCCCACGAGGTATGCGTAGGGAATCATCCTGTGTTCGACCATTGGGGTGATGCGT